ATATCTTAGACAGTGTTAAAAGACATACTTGAGCCACATAGATGGAGGTTCTATCTGTTTTTTGCTCATGGCACTTTCCTTTGCCAACGCCCAAACAATGCACATCATCACAAAAAATATGCACGGAACTTCACTTATGATGCCTAAATAATGTGAAAATCTAAGTGTTAAAATCAAGCTTATGTAGGATTTTATTCAACTGTGATATTTAGAAAATGAAAATATAACTGAGTGACCTTCATCTTTGACCAAGCTCAGAACGAGCAAAATTAAACTTGTGACAACAAGAACCTCGATAATCCTGAAAGAAATAGAAAATAATTCAGGAATAGATAAACTGGGGGAGTGCAGGGGGTGTTCACACCCCTCTTCCTTAGCTTTGGTAAGGAGGGGTGTAAGGGGGGGGGGGTGGTACCAATTAATTAAGTACCTTATTAAGTCCATTGTTGGGATTTAGAAAGGTAGTTACAAAAACAAAAATATAATAGAGACAAAATGAGATAGTAGCCAGGGTGCATTCCGTGTAAACTTCACGCCGAAGATAATCTGAGGTAGTGTTGCCGTGCGCCAAGTGACGTCAACTTGTGCGCCGGCTGATCGTGCGCACCATGATTTTTCATTAACAGTTAGTTTTTCAAAATTAAAACTTGCTAAAAAGGCGTGTAATTGATGAATAAGATGTTTTGCTGATGAGCAATGATGAGTGTTGTTACTGTTGTATCACAAGTTATAACCACCATTTAGTAATATTACACTGACCAGGAACACAAGTTCATCGAGTCCCTAAAGAATTATAAAGGCCAATCCAATCACAAGGCGATTATTAATACTCAAAGTCTCATTTAAACATTTAATGCTGCGCCAACCACCAAAACTCAAAACTTTGTGCGCCAACCTCGATGTGATTGTGCGCCAACAATTCAAAACTCACGCCGAAGATCTTCCACAAAACATGCATGGAATGCACTCTGGGATAGTAGCATGATTGTGAAATTTGTCAAGCAAGACATGGTTGTCTGATTATAATTTCACCTCATGTGAGAACAGGCTTCCAGTTTGACTCTCCCAAACACCTCTGGTTTTCTCCAGGTAATTTATCCTGGAGCAATAAGGTAATATGGCAATTATTGGACCTCGAGGAGTGAATCCAGAATAATTTATTTTAAAAATTTACACGCAAACACGCACCTGTTTATAGAATGGCTTGCATACACTGTGTAAATGTAGCGAGATAAAAGAGAGCCAAGTAAACACGCCAAGGCGGCCACACCAAGGATTACAGACTAGAAAACAGTTCGACAATTAACTTTCATCAATGCATATTTTAACCATTTCAGTAGTAATGCACCCTGATCCACCCTACTCTATTATTTTACTCCGTCTAATGCCAAATTATTTTACCCATAAAGGGGAGAGTCCTGCCACTCAGTAGGTTAATCCATGCATCCTGTTAACTATTTAAGTGACAATTAATGTGCCTTGATACATGTGCCCTACTTTATTATTCTAAGTACTCTGTCTAACACCAGACGATTTTACTTTGAAAATGTTGCCACTCAATGGGTCAATCTTATAACTATACATAGCCGGGAATTTCAAGGATTGAAACCAAATTAGTACATTCTTGTATCCATTTATAAACTGGAGGACTGGTAATCTTTCAGATCCAAAGCCTGTTTACTAAGGGGCAATTACAGTGGCTAGCAAGTTACACCATACCTTCACTAAGTTAGGCTGTTCTTCCATTTGATCAACAACCATTTGACTTGCTTTCATGATGAACAACACAATATGTATAGCTTCAAACACGGAAAGCAAGGGTGATGATAGGTAGAGCAGCTTCTCATATGACCATACTGCTATTGGTGGAGTCACATTGATCGGTAGGAAGAGTAAGACGACAAATAACACTAACTCTGCCATAGGAATGATAAGTTTCTGGAAATAAAATTGTTAAGGTTACAGAACACCTTTGAGTGTTAATTTTGCCCAAAATTTTTTTATTGGTTTCAATGAAAGCATTAGACTAGTTCTACTATTTGACCAAGTTTGAACGAAAAATGTTGAAAACTCGCAGAGTTATTTAATAAAATACATTTCGCTGCAATAAGAAAAACATTGAAAATGTAACATTCAAATTCAATTTTCTCCCGAAAAATTTTACGGTAATTACTGATTTTCAAACGAGTTGTGCTCCTGCGGGTTTTAACCAATTTTTCTCAAATTTTCACAGGACATAGCTAAATACGTCAGTTTCAAAATTGTGTTCGGCTTTTTTTAAATTTTGGATATTTTAATAATAAAGAGCAATTCACTCAAACAATTCAGAAATATATTGCAGTCGTCAAAGAAATCGCCATATCAGCGGAATGACGAAATAAACAAAAATTTCCGAACACAATTTTTTAGAACAACTATTTTACTGTATAAAAATTATATTTTCATAAATATAACTTAAAACCAGCAGGAGCACAACTCAAAAGCGTAACGGTACCGCGATTTAAGATTTTCCTGAATAATGCTTACATTATTTTATTGTTTGTTAATTTTACAACTTTACCATATTTTGCATGCACTGGAGAACATTTGGTGAAAATTTGATGAAAATCGGACTGATATTGAGCGCGCAGTAGCGATTTTCCGCAAAACGCCAAAAAGGGTGTCCTGTAACCTTAACCCAGGGCTGAGATACTGGCTATATGGCAGTTTTCCATATAGAGATTATAAAACAATAGAGTGGGTATTGTGGCAATAATCGAGGGACAATTCCTGATGGCCGCAATTTACAGTTGTATACGTGCGAATATGCAGACATCGCTAAAGATTTTTTTTAATTCATTATAGGCATCAGATGAAGCACCTCCAGCCATAGAGTTCACTGACGAGGGCAAAATAAACGACGAGACTGTTGCAACGCTCGTTGAAGATCTGGAGAAGCTAGCCATTAACCCTGAATGTTCACTATACCAGCCTACCTCGTCCCAGGAAGATACTTCAGATGACACCAGCAGTCAGGCAACGTGTGGAAGTGGTTCTCATCCACCAGATAAACCAGCTGATGACGGTAAAAAAACAGCATTGGAGCGATTCATGGATCTGAGTGGTATTGGGCCTCTGGGATCCATTATGGAGCGTGCTTGGAAATGTGCCACTACAAAAACACAAGATCACTACACTTGCAAAGCAAGCGAAATAATCGCAAGCGTCATTAAGACGGTAGCTCCAGATTCCGCTCCGCAATTGTGGGAAGCAGTAAGGACAAAGGGCAAAGTAAGCCAGTTCCTTCAAATGCCAAGACCTGACAATGGCCTGGTGCAAGCAATAGTAGAATCGTATAAGCTAGCGGAAAAGGCAGAGACAAGGTGACAACTTCTCAGCATTTGTGCCAGTAAAGTAACGTATTCAGAGCTTACTGCACACATTCCTAACCTAACAAGATACGAGTTCACTGCGGCAAGACGGTACGCACTTGAAGTTGGCGCAGGACTCCCTGTTTTAGCACCTTCCGTGAAACAAACAAGAGAAAGGGTGGATCCTACAAAGCTAGAACACTTCCTTGACTTCATAACGTCCTCCAATATAGTACAAGACCTTCCCTTTGGTAGGAGAACTCTTACGTTAAGCAGTGGTGAGAAGATCGATATCCCTAATGTCATACGAACGATGCTGCCTTCCCATCTCATCAGACAATACAACCAGTACTGCAGCGAAGAAGACTTCATTCCACTTTCTACCCGCACCCTCTTTCGTATCTTGTCTGAGGCTTGCGTGGCCTCAGTGAGAAAGAGTTTACAGGGCTTAGATAGCTATGCAGCAGAGGGCGGGCGTGGTTTTGATGACCTGACTTCCCTCCTGGATACATTGATGCAGTATGGTGCTAACGATCCTGAAATACACAAGCTAAAGGACAGCCTTAAACATCTCAAACAGTACATCAAAAGTGATTACAAGGTATGTTTCCGAGTATTTCATACCGCCTCTTGATAGAACGTAACCACATGCCTCTTTTCTCCGCAGATCCATTGTTCCATGGTTAGTTATGTACCGGACCACTGCAGAGTGTTTGCACTTAGCGATCCGAAGAAGAAATGCTTCCATCGACGCTGTGACCACCACCACAATCAACAGTGTGAGAGTTGTGAAATATTGAAAACGGTAAGTTAATAAAATACTATTGGAAATCAATAGAATATAATTCGGTTAATTACATATTGTGTCTATACAATGTGCAATGGTATAGCATGCTGATGCTGCTAAGGAGAAAATTGTCCTTGAATATGACACATCACCGAAGCTCTCAGATGTTACAGAAAATGTAACTTTATTGAAAAAAATTTCTCGTTTTACTTAGTCTTTAGATTTAGTTAAATCCTTCATCCAGTCTACTAACCTACCCGAAGACGTGCAGGATGATGCTCTATTTACAGCGAGAACCGCGTGTGATGCTGTCCTGTCCTGGAAATCCCACCAGCTCCGCATGGTCCACCAGGACGTAGCCAGGTCGGATGCTATCGACAGTCTTGGTGAAGATTCCACGCTAATCACGCAAGACTTTGCCATGAAGTTCTTACCAGCCCAGTACAGAGAGACACAGGCCGAATTCTTCGGGAAAAGAGGGATTTCGTGGCACCTTACAGTTTGCCAAAGCAACAAAGGCGGAAAGATTGTCGCGCAAACGTTCGTTCACATAATTGAATCTGGTGTGCAGGATAGTAATACAGTAGTGAGCGTGATGGAACATGTCCTGCAAACCCTGAAGTGTGAAAATCCAACCTTGAATAGAGTGGTATACCGCCAAGACAACGCAGGGTGTTATCACTCCGCAACAACAATACTGGCCTGCAAAATACTAAGAGAGAGAAGTTCACTGGATCTTCGTCGGATTGACTTCTGTGACCCGCAGGGGGGGAAAGGTCCATGTGACAGGAAGGCAGCGCAAATCAAGACCCATGTTAAGCAATACATCAATCAGGGCAATTCCGTCACAACGCCTGCTGAACTTAAAAAAGCTATTGAATCCAACGGAGGGATTAAAGGGGTACGTGTCACGATGGTACCTGTTCCCAAGATTGCTGGACGCAAGAAAATCAAGTGGGACGGTATAAGCAGTTTGTCCAACTTCGAGATAACATCTGCGGGTGTGAGGTCCTTCAAGGCTTATGGTATCGGCGCTGGGCATTTTCAGTCCTGGACATCATTTAAAGGTATGGACTAATTGGTTGGTAGATGAAAACTATTATTCGGTCTTAGGCAAACATTGATTATTTACTGGCAAAACATGCTCAAGAAATGGCTCGCAATTAACAGTTATGTTTATATGATTCATATGAACTTTATTGGAAAGCCTTGTCGTCACATTAAAAAACATGTAGCAAAGCCCAAAAAGGGCAATAAATCTTTCTTCTTCAAAAAGATAACAACATTTTAAACTACTTATTTGTTTATCTTAATGTCCTAT